GTCTGACCTGTTGAGTACAATGGTCCTAATTGCATCTGTTTATATTGTTACAGTAACCCCATTCTCTGTTTTTCACTTGATTTATTTCATATCAAATAATTATAATTATATATTTCATGAGCTGAGTGTGATGTTTCTGGAATTAAATCTCGCTATCAATCCATTTATCTACTGTTTGGTGTATAAGGATTTTCAACGAGGACTTTACAAGATCAGGCAGGATATATTCCTCAGTTTAGAAACTCCAAATACATAAATATCATTTAAACCAGCATCTTTTTGCCTGATGATTCAAATAAACGTCCATGTAATTGACTCTGCTAATTATTGAAAACTTGCTTGTTCCATAAATTCAGTGAATGCATCGTTAGTTTCATTGCATAAACTCGAAATTGTAAATTTCAGGTAATATCTGGTACTGGAATTAAGGAATGTAGGTAAACATCAAATAAATTGCAATTTATATTTTACTTTTTTGCAGGAATTATATATCCATATAGATAAAAAAAAAAGTGATAATTTTTTTTCATTTAAATATTGAAAAATAGCAATAATTTAATAAATAAATCATGCATTTTTAATACTAAAATAATTTAGATGTAACCGAATCACTCAGACACTCAGCCTCAATTACAAGGAAGCGGAATCACAATTTTCAAAAATGTTTAAATTTAATCTGGGTATTGCTAAGCCCTGCAAAAAGTAGATTGTTATGAACATCAAATAATTTTTTTTTAATGAGATTAAAAGAGAGTCTGACAATTATAAATTTTAAATCTCTCTTTTTTCTGCGCTACTGCCGTCGCTGATACTTATTTTTCTGTCGCTGTTTGCTGGTATCATTTATTGTTGCTCTCATGGAGTTTCTGGGAATATCCCCGAAGCTCCATGAGAACAACAGTATATTGTTCCTTGCGTGCTGCGCTGTTCTGCGCTGCGCTGTGCCTAGCTTGCTGTTTTTAATCGTTTTTACTTCCAGAGATCAGAGATTTATTTATGTATTTTATGTATCCTTAAATCAGTGGAGAAACTTTATACAGCAATTTAGTTTGCTTTTTGTTTATCCTGATTTTTGGTATTGTTATTTCTGTATGTTTTGCTTTCTGTTTGACGAAATAAATGAAATGAAATAAATAAAGGGCTTGGATGTGGTTCGCGGTGTTTTTGGAAGTTTGCGGTGTATTTGCAGGTATTTTTCACAAAAAAATAGATTCTTATGAATTTATTTCCTATTTTCTTATTGATTGTTTTGGGAGGTTTGTGAGGTTTAGCAGTAAGCTTTAACCAATATCTAACGGAATACATTGGCAACTAGTATAGTATAATGATAATGATGACGACAGCTTATTTATTTGTTAATCTATGGACTATTTTATTCATTTCTTTTTATTCATTCCTGCAAGAAATAATATAAATGGCAACTTATTTAACCGTTAAATTACAATCTTAAAAAAAGTTATTTTAGTTTTTAAATATGCATATTGTTTATATTGATTGATTAATTCAATTTTTGCTATTTTACAGCATTTAAATAGTTTAGAGATTTTAAAAATATCAGTTATATTACTAAATTGTAGCCTATATTGATTTAATAAACTATTTAAATAAAATTTAAATAGGTTAAAAATTCATTAATAAGTTCATTTAATAAATAGGAGCAATTTTTTCATTTATTGATTTAATTCTTGCTATTTTACAGTATTTAAATATTTGAGTATTTTAAAAAAATCATTTATTACTGAATTGTATCATTGAGGCAATTTTACCTACCTGTCATTTAGGGCCATTTTGACCGCACACCACGTGGTGAAGTGTTGTCACAACAACCACATTTATCAATTTTGTTGTCATTACTGTGACATAATGTAATAGATTTCTTCTTAACGCTCTGGTGGCTGACCATTCATGTGTAACTTCGATACCGACTGCCTCATTGGACGTTTTATGTTTTTACAATATTTATCATGGCTTTAACATAACCGCTTGGTTTATGAGAATATCATAATCAAGCGATGAAATGTGTTTGGTGAAAATGGACAGCTTCAGAAACTTTTTCGGCGTACTACCTCCAACCTATTTTGAAAAAAATTGTAATTAAACACAAATTTACAACAATTTACTTTCACAAGCATTCCTGTTAAATTATCTGCTTTTCCAGTGAAAGACTTCGGAAAACATGGATGTATTTACGAATGACACAGCTCGCACAGAACTGCAAGATCCCTTGGTGTTGGCCTTAGTCCGTTTGATATTGGCTTGTCTGGTATCATCGCGAACTCCATCGTCATGTTTGTGTTCATCTACAACAAAACTTACAAAAAGTCACTATCAAGGAAATTACTTCTGCATCAGACTGTGATTGATTTGTCCGGCTCTGTGGTGTTTTTGATCTTCTACAACATTGATGTTCCTGATGGTATTGGTGGAACCATATTCTGTAAAATGCGGTTCTTGTTTGTCTATATGTCAGTAACATCGACATTCAATTTTATTATGCTAACAATTGAACGTTATACTGCCGTCGTACATCCATTGTTTTATCGCCGGAAAACCTTGGGCGGAAAATTTAGGTACCTATCGCTCATTAGCCCCCATGTCATCGGTTTAATTCTAACAGGGAGTATCCCAATACACGCGGATATACACCCTACTGTGAAAGAATGTAAACCTACGGAGATGAACGCAGGCACTGGTGTATTATCAATTGTTGTCAATTGGATGATACCTGTTTGCATTATGCTATACTGTTACGTGCGGATGCTGTTAAAATTACGCAAAAAAGGAACAGTTAGCCAACAGCCTTCGCCTGAATCGCAACCCAGAAATTTTGGACGAGTTCAGACGTTCAAGTCTGACCTGTTGAGTACACTGATCCTAATTGCATCTGTTTATATTGTTACAGTAACTCCATTCTCTGTTTTTTACTTGATTCATTTCATACGTCGTCGTTATAATTTTTTAGTTCATAAGGTGGTTGTGATGTTTCTGGAATTAAATCTTGCTGTAAATCCATTTATCTACTGTATGGTGTACAAGGAATTTCGAAGGGGGATTTACAGGATCAGAGATGATATATGCCCCCGTTTAGAAACTATAAATATATAAATTTATTTTACCGTAGTTATTCAACTCTTTGATAACCAGTGTACTACATAATATATGCAGCATACAATGTAACTACCGTAAAAGAAGTCCTCTTCAGTTTGCAAAAGTAATCTCGATAAGAGGCCCATGGGCTTATTTCGAGATAGTACATTACTGACGTTATCTTGAATTATTAAACAGAATTTCGAATTCCATAGTTGGAAGATATATAGTAGAAATTTCAAAATTTACAGCATTCATTTTGAAAAGAAGCCTTCTTTAGTTTGCAATAGTAATCTCGAAAGGAATTCTCTCGAAAAGAGGCCTAGTGTCTGGAAAAGCCCATCCAAGTGTCCTAAAAAATTCCAGCGCTTCTAAGTTTTACGGATAGTTCAGACGTAAAGGGCTGTTGTCTTCAAGTAAATCTTTTGTTATTTCTATTATGTACACTGGCCTTTCCCCCACTTAATGTTCAGTTTTAATATTACGCTTTACAGATAACTGGCATTTGGCCGTTTCATCTATGTGTTTTTTTAGCCAAATGGTAGGCGTTCGCACAGGGTTTTCCAATATAGTTTTAGAGGGCGCAACAAAAATTGCTGTATGGCCGAACCATGCCCACACGTGCTTTATGATATACCTTTGAGCTGTTCTATATTTACATTTATCTCTATCCAGGAATATAAAATGGGAACCTGGTGGTTATGGCAATGACTGTTCGTGCGCTGAGTACACGCAAACGACTAAGAACAAAGAAGGATGCACTTTGTGCTGGTCTGTAGTATTTGTCCAGCGACCAGGGGTAATAACGCTCAGCGCCTTCTGATTTGGAATTGGCGCTATACAAATTATTGTTGAAATAAATAAATTTATTTCAACAATAGTTTGTGAGGGTGATCCATCCAGCTAGAGCTGATCTATTGGGACCCTCAGTACATACAATCAAAGAAAAAAGAATAAAAATTAAACTAGATCTTTAACATAAACAAATTAATTATGTTAAAACAGAGAAATGAAAAAATAAATTATTTAAGTAACACATTAAAAGTAATAATTAACAAAATGAAAAAACAAAAATTAACACATTAAACAGAAAAATAATTGAAATAATAAATTGATCAAGAGAATTATATAGAAAATAAATAATTAAAACTAACATGAATAATATCTTGAAATAAACACATTTGGCCTGGTTCTCACGAGAGCACTATCACCCGGATCGGGAGCTAACCGTTAGCACCTGCTTGAGAACGCCCGATCGGTTAGCGCTAACTGTTAGCAGTATCCGGATACCGCTAACGGTCAAGCGCTATCGGTTAGCAAGTTGAGCGCGTTTTTATCATCAACCAATCACACGTACGCGTTTACAATTTCCAGTTTCTTATTGGCCAGTGATTCGACCATCATATTTTTGGTATCCGGATCGGGATTTTCTCGTATGGACGCACGGTAGCTAACAGTTAGCAGGATCCGGATCATGCTAACCGTCAGCAGCCGTGTGAGAACATAACCTTATAAAAGATAAATATAGGCCTATTACTTTACAAAAACAAAGCAAAATCAAGATTTAAAAATATAATTTCTAGACCGATGGGGAGGGGGAAGATTGACCTTTTCTCCACCACTGGTCTTAGTTTCTCAAAATCAATTTCTCTTTTTGGGTCTGACGAGATGTGGGTCGCGGCTCTTAGCCAGTGGCATATTTTTATCATCAACCAATCACACGTACGCGTTTACAATTTCCAGTTTCTTATTGGCCAGTGATTCGATCATCATATTTTTGGTATCCGGATCGGGATTTTCTCGTATGGACTTAAGTGGGGGAGGGGCTTAATGATTGAGGGTGACGCTAGCTCGCAAAAAGCACCAGGCTCCAACACTGCATCATACATCATATAAAGTAAATAAACACAAGATTTATTCTATCCGATATTTTATTCATTCAACCTCGCATTTTACTTGAAAAAATATGACACCAATATTATCAATCACAATATTATAATATCATCATCCTGTCGTGTAAACGGCCAACTCAGACAGCATCGTACAACGCAGCCCGAAGCGATTCATCGTCGGGGACAGACCCTATGCGACAACAAATCGCGTCGGACTGCGTTGCACTGCACAACGCTGTCTGAGTTGGCCTTTATACTTATATAAATATTCAATTTAATACGGTATTGCAATATAAAAATTAAAAACATTGTTATTTTAAATAAAAATGTGTAAAAAATTACCAGACAAGGACATTCCACTCTCATCTCATTCTCCCTCTTGTGAAATATTTCACCTGCGTTTAGTTTCTGTGAGTGTGCTAGAAATAACTAGCTAGCAAATCGGTTGAGGTACATACGTAATTTGAATTTGGTTCAAACTGAAAAACGATTATGGTCACTTGTACTTGCATAACGTGTCTAAATTGTTATAAAGCGAACCAAGATTAAATACTGCTAAGAATAAAATATACATATTTATAATATTTTGTTACAAAAACCTATGTTTCTTTAAGCTTAAAAGCCATCGGTAAACGATTATGCCTATTATAATAAATATCAAGATTTGAGTGCTAAGCAAATTTTGATTTGCTTTTGGAAAAAAAAGTAAATATCAGGAGTGGATCCAAACTTTTGGAAACGGGGTGGGGGCACCAAAGCTTTAGAACAGGTAAATGTGTAACACATAATACTGATATGCATTGAAATTTTAAAGATTTAGTGTCAAAACCGGGGAGGTGGAAATATTGTGTTGTTTATATGTATTACAAGATACAACCTATCTTTACATGTACGAAAATAGTTGCAACAATAGCTGTGGTTCAGTGAAGCCGTTTGGGGGTGTGATTCCCATACCATTAACTTCAGTTTAGTAACTGGCAGGATGTATCATACAATTGATACTCCATTCATCTTTACCTCAAACATTTGAAGAGCTTTTCTAAAATAAATGTAGAAGCAGACATTTTCTGGCTTATAGTTCTTCTCTTCAATATGTGGTCAATGTTTAATTTTCGAGAAAAGGGGGTTCTTTTCAAAATTAATGCTACTAACAGTATACAACACTTTTCAACCATGGAATTCAAAATTCTTGTTTAATATTTGTAAATTTTAACCTCGCTAATACAATAAAATACTATTGGTACTGACAAGTTATCACAATAATCAAAGATAACGTCAGTCTGAATGTTATTGTGGAAATATTATCTCGAAACAAACCCATCTTGATTAGAAGCCCATGGGCTTCTTTTCGAGAATACTTTTGCAAACTAAAGAAGGGAGCTTCTTTTTGAGATTAAGATCATGAGGCTTCTATTCAAGGTTTTACGGTATTTAGCCAGCATGCCTTGATGTATATTATCCCCAATTTCCAATTGTAGGACATATTAAAACTACTGTAACTACTAATCTATTCATTCAAAGCAAGTGAACTTCTTTACTAAGACACTGTATAATAAAGCACATTTAATATATTCAGTATAAGCTAATTTCATAATAGCTACCGTACAATATATTGAACATGCACCACTAAAGTATCATATTTCCCTCAAAGCTTTTATCTAAATCAAAATATTCAATTCTTGTATGGGCAGTGAGTTTGGTTTTGGGAGCTTAATTCTTACTGTTGTACAATATTATAAATTGCTAAAATTATATATTCAGTATAAGCTAATTTCATAATAGCTACAATATATTGAACATGCACCACTAAAGTATCATATTTCCCTCAAAGCTTTTATCTAAATCAAAATATTCAATTCTTGTATGGGCAGTGAGTTTGGTTTTTGGAACTTTCTTACTGTTGTACAATATCATAAATTGCTAAAATATCAAGTACTGCAACAACAATAACAATAAATATTTGAATAGTTTCATCTGGTTTGCGTATTATTGTTGTTGGAATGTTTAATCATTAATCGTTTAATTGACCTTTCTGCTAAGCTCCGCCCCTTAGATATTGTTGCTACGGTTCCACAAAACTGTTAAAATCACTGATCTCTACTATAATAACAGTAATCTATTATAGTAGAAATCAGTGGTTAAAACATACGCGAACACGTGCGTTTGTGGGACAACACATGTGTGTGAAACACGCGCGTATTCCTAGCGCTGTTCTGATTAATCAGTTGTTAAGTTTGATTGACACTCCGCCGGAAAGGTCAATTGTTAGGCTCGCATAACCTGATAAAGCCATGTTGATAACATCGACGAAAGCTCGCAGTAAGTTAATCATTGTGCTTGGTTTATTAACAATTAAACAGTCCCACAACAATAATGATAATACTGTAGTAGGGAGTTTTCGCAAGCTTACGAAAACGATAACGAATACGGTTACGTCATCAATTTCTGAAACAACCCTTCCCATACAGCATCTATCATAGTTGTCACAAAGAAGGCGATTCATGCCTTTTGCCTTTATCAAGGATCATATACAGCTCATACAGCATAATTTTGAGAATTTTTTTGTCACGAATGACGATAACGACAATGACGTACTCGCGTTATCGTTTTCGTAAGGGTGCGAAATCTCCCTAATAACTAAAAAAAGTAATAGTAATAAATAACAAAAACAGTAAAAATAATAATAATAATCAAAAACGTATAAAGTATGACTATAAAAAAATTAATGCCCATCACCAACTTTAAAGGAAAGCTTGTTTACATCAATATTTACCCCGACATAAATCAGATGATGAATTAGAGAAAAAAATGAACTTTATAATACACAACTTTTTTTTGGTTGATTAGGAGGCAGCAATTATGATGCCTAAAAATATACACCAGAACTAGCAGTATAGGTGGTATTCATTCTGAGGTGGTTGGTTTAATGTGTGAAGTATTGCTAATAATTCCATACTGTGTATTTCAATATTTAAATGGCCTAGAGCAAAGGATTTTAAAAATTTCTGTTTTTCACTTTTAGCTCCAATGAGGAGCTCTAGGAACACTCGGCTGAATGATTAATAGATCTTTATAGCACTACTGCCTCTATTATACTCACCTCATCAGGCTGATATATTTATAGTTCTCTTTTTAGGTCTACTGCCTCTATTATACTGCCCTCATGAGGCTGATTGATTAATTTGATCTACTGCCTCTATTATACTGCCCTTATCAGAGCTTTTTAGATTATGAGAACTTGATTTCCTAAAATAATACAATAAAATCTAAGGAGAGGAATATTCTTATTTGATTTGACACAGAATGACCCTTTACAAACACAAAAGTTTACACTGAAGAGAATCTAGAAACTATCAGTGTAACAAAGTCATATACTGTATAACTGTTTGCATCTATGATGTGTTATTTATAATGACTACATTTGGAAACTGATTCCTTCTTATATAAATAAAAACTGTTACATCCATTTCGAAAACAAAATATATTTAGCGATGTTTTTTTACCTACAGTCTAAAAATTATCTATGACATGGTTATCCAAACACAACGGTATAAACAAGCTTTCACTGGTGATGGAAAACGAACATTAATGTTTGTGCGAATATTTATTGCGCCACGATTTATAGTACTACATAAGTACTAATGATTGATTGGTCGATTGATTAATTGATTGATTGATTGGAAACAAAGTCATTTAAAAATGTCATCATTGTAAAAATTATGGCAGTTATATTTATCAAACATTTTCCAGTTTCAATGCTAATAAAATAGTGACTGGCAGAGGTAATGGGTTGCATGTTTTGTGCTGGTATTTTTTTTTTTCATTCTTACATAACAACAAGTACTGTACAACTACTATAATGTTCTCTAAATGCATGTTCAGACTATTAAAATTCCATTTGACAAATACATGTGACATGCCTAAATGGTCATGATGACATCACATCATGACCATATATAGGCACATCATGACCATATATAGGCACATCATGACCATATATGGGCATACAACAGTTTTTTTTGTCAAAGAAAATTTAATAGTGTGGACAAAGCTTTAAATAAGGGAGGCTTAAAAACAACGAAACACAACTGCACTCCCTTCACCTTCAAAGTTGGACACACACTATAACATGTTTATCTGTCAGACTTGACAGAAAAATGTTTGATATTGTATAGTAGTTTCAAATAAATCACAACTTTTCCTATCAGTGAAGTACAATACTCTATTCTACCATAGCAGGTCTGATCAAACATTGTAAAAGTCTGTCAAACAAAAATCTGACAGTGTATGCCTGGCTTAGGCCCTACCCAGACTATCAAATTTTATTTTTAAAAAAATGTGATATGCCTAAATATGGTCATGATGACATCCCATCATGACCATATATAGTCACATCATGACTATATGTGGGCATACAACAGTTTTTTTGTAAAATAAAATTTGATAGTCTAAACAGGATTTTAGGGGAGTTTAAATGAATTTTGTTTTCAGAAAAAGTTCTTGCATTTAAATGCGGAACCCTGTTACGGAAGGTAAGCATCTTAACCAACAAACACCATCTACCCCACCTTTTGTTATTATCCAATCTACTCTATTACAAGTTATAATTGATTCACCGTAATATTCATTTTAATATACATCTGTATTTTTTTTTTATGGACAAGTCAATAAATGAATCTTGCATACAAGTAGTGATTTACAAAATTAGCTTAGCTAGCTTGTAAGTACAGTAGTTTGGCCAACCTTGAAATCACCAGTCATCAAAATGAAAATACCAATATATACATATCATAATTAAACTATATTGTGCAGTAAACAATTTGTCAGTAAAAAATTTAAGTAATTTGAATGATTGTTGGTTTGGCAGATTCTTCTTGCATTACTTTTTAATTATATCACCCAATCAGGATTGCAAATGAATAATATATATTACATGATCATTAATATTGTGTATTATCATATCCATAATTAAGTATATATGATATATAATCATACAACCTTATATAATCTTATGCAATCATTTAAATACTGTCTTATACGTCAAAATATTCATTAAATTATATTTTTGGTTTATATATTCTTACTCAAGATTTGTTTTAAATATTGAAATTATTGCAGTTCAACCACATTTTTACCATTTTTTTTGTACATTAGTATCGACTATTACAATAATAAGAATTTATTTAATGTACTCTCGTCATCGGTCGAATAAAATATTTTTGTTGCGAACTGTAAATATACTATATTGCTTAAATATAACTTCAGTGAGTAAATTTTATTATTATATTAATATTTAATATAGTACTGTTATATTTCATTTAGACAGGTAAAAAAAAAATGCTGAAATGGTGCCTTACCTATTGACCATTGATATAAGGTTTTAAATGGATTAATATCTTTTTCATACTTTTGGTAGTACACTGGGCTCTTCCTTGGAAAAAAAGGAAATGTTAAAAAAAAAAAAAAAAAAAAATTGTAGACCTTAGATATTAAAGATTTTGAGTCAGATATTCTTTGTCAATTTGTAAAACAAAATTATAATACACTCTATACTATGTTAAGAAATGAGGCTTGCCATCCAAAAACCAGACTCATAGACCAAAAAAATGAAAATTGACATTTAAATATATTCTTATTATTCACATTGTAAGCTTTAAAATGACGGGTCGTGGGGCGGACACAGGATTTGGCAGTAGGGGATGTGTGAGAAAATTTTGAGAATATGGACCTCTGGGTGTCCCTAAATTTCACTCTCATATCTTAAAAATCTTAGTGGTAAATTCATATCAACAATATAATACAACAATTATTTTTCTTAAAACAATTTGGGGGGGGGAGTGTGATTGCACCATCTGCATCTTCCTGCATCCAATCCCAGCGGTCATTTACTGCAATTGATGTACTATTGCCAAAATTATGAGTGAAAATATTATAGCTTCTCTATAATACTGTACTCAGTTTTAACAATTAGCAACATTATTACAGCTTCTCAGTATTAAAGTATATCACACAATTAGTACACTGGTTTTGGGATGGTGAGCCACAAAATAGTAAAAAATTTAGGAAAAATAATACTGTTAAAATGACACTGACAAACAGGAATCATCAATTCACTTCACCAAACACAATTTATCAGAGCTTATGCTAAATAATAACATATTCAGACTCTCAACAATAACATTTCAGTCCAAATCACACAGTGTTCTCCTGAAGCTGTTCTAGCTGTCAATTTTACCGGTAAAAATAACTGGCCAACCAGTAAAACTTTTGAGATTGTAAAATAATAAAACCATTGATTGGGCCTAGGTAGTCTAGACTGGCTTCTGTCAATAAATGAACATCATTCCCGTCTATACCTAGGCCATGACTATATAGTTGTATTTTCAAGTCACTAGACCCCACTCAAAAGGAATAATGCCTCACACTGCGTGCATAGCTGAATTTTATGGACTATCAGTAAAAATGTTTCAATTGGGCTTCTTACTTCTTTAAGACCCTTGGATGGGCTTCTACTCGAGGTGGGCCCCTTTTCGAGATGGGCTTCTTTTCGAAATTACTTTTGCAAACTAAAGAGGGGATTGTCATCTTCTCTAGTCTAAGCCCATGGGCTTTTATTCAAGGTTTTATGGTATTAGTATTAAACCGGTAGGCCACTGGCTGTGAATTGTTTACGTGTTATGTATTAGGTCTATGGTGAATACTGATGCCTCACTAGAAATATTTCCTATGAGTGGAAAAAGTTACTGTTTACAATTAAAGATTGGCAGGAATGTGAACCAATTTAGGACATTAAGTGGAATACGATATATAAAAATGAAAAAAACAATTATTATTATTATTAATGACTAAATAATAAATAGAAAAAAAGGGAAACTAGCTGTAATAATACCAGAATGGAAAATGCAAATTCAATGTATTTTAAACCTTTGTACAATATTTTTTTTTTGTGACAAAAAATGGTGATATGCCCACATATAGGTGTAATATGAGATCATCATGCCCATATATGGGGACATCACATAAATTTGTTACATAAAATGTGATAGTGTGTCCGGAACTTAAAGCTTTGGCCACTTTATCGAGCTCCATGTTACAAAATGCCCAATATATTGGTGTAATATGACATCATCATGCATCATTATTATGTGGTCACATACAATTTGATAATGTGCACAGAACTTAAAGCTTTTTGGCCACTCTATAAAACTTTGTCTACACTATCATATTTTATGTGACAAAAAAATGTGATGTGCCCATATATGGGTACGATGATGTCATAACCCATACTATCAAACTGTATCAAAAAAAGTTGAACATGATCAATTTTCTTATTTATTTATTTATTATTTTCTTACTTTCCATCACATTTTTATGTGACACTTTTTTGATGAAATTTGATAGTGTAGACAAAGCTTTAAGCTTTTTGTCACAAAATTCCCATATATACTGTAGTTGTAGCATGATATAATCAAGCCCATATATGTGCACATGTGACATCACATTAATTTGTCACATAGGCCTATAATTTCATAGTGCGGACAGAACCTAAAGATTTTTGGCGACTTTATCAAGCTTTAAGTCACAAATAAATGCCCATATAAGTATGACATCAGCATGCCCTTATGGGCATATATTTGTCACATAAAATTTGATAGTGTAAACAGAACTTAAAGCTTTAGCCACTCTATCAAGCTTTGTCACACAATACTCATGTATACTGTAGGAGTGATAAGACATTACCATATCCATATTTGGGCAAATCTCTCATATATTTTGTCACATTAAAATATATAGTGTAGACTGAGCTTAAATTATGCAAGGATTAAATTATAGCGTCTTAGTTCTATTTGGTTGTATTTTAAACCCTGTACAATGTAGTGCTTCAACAAATTCAGAATATTGCTCTTATCAAATAAATAATATCTGAGAAACGCATATAAAGCCTCAAACACTTATAGCTGGACCTTAAGCACTGAAATGGAGACTAAAACTGTGTCTAAGCTAGATTCATGCATAGTGGTCAAAATAACCAAATTTCTAGGGTGGTACTCAATTATTATTAACACCCTGAGGACAGACCAACCTGTGGCCTGACTGGTTGTTTTGAACCCATACAAACCTTACTGACGTGATGGGGTATCCACATCTTAAATTTTAAGACATCTATGTTCTATGTGGTTAGATCAATCGCACCACCATATAAAGTAAGGAGAAGAATGATTCCAAAACCAAGCAGTAAGCCAGCGTTTTGTAGAAGAAATATTTGTAAATTGGTCGGTGACAAACTGGGATCAGAACTGCTGTTAATTTCAGGAAGCTGCAAGAGATTAAATTAAAAAAAATCATATTTAAAAAATATCACCTGATGAAGCTAGCTCAAGCTAGCGAAAGCTTGTCTCAATAAATTTTGTTAGTCTGAAGATGGTGCTACTGTACTCATTTCATTTATATTTAAAAAATAGAAATGTATCATTTTGCTTCAGTGTACTGTAATAAATTTTGTTTTTATGTTTTTAGGAAATGATGGTTTCATGATATTCAACAGGTGTTAAATCATATTGTCTATGTTTAGCTAATAAATTTGAAAAATAAAATTAAATATTTTCAATTACTACCTTGAATCTTGACTACCAAGCTACAAGTGTTAAATGTACAATGTCGTTAACAAACTTCAACAATTAAATTTTACATTCAAAATGCTTTATGAAGTCACAGATTCTATAGGATCTGTAATTAGTGCATATTTAAATAAATTATTAAATTGAAATTTAGAGTAATGAATTTTGACTAGCAAGCTACAACAGCTGTCCTTTCATATTTTTTTTGATATACAGAGTACAGGTATTTAACAAGTGTAAAATGTACGTTTATCTAATACACTTAAACAATAAATTAGATATTATCATTATTTATAGCATATAGTTAAATAAGTTATTTGATGTTTACAGTTAGAATTTGGTTTGTTAATATACAGAATCATCAACATATTTAACAAGTGTTAAATTTATACGATCTTTTTTTAGATAATAAAACTTGAACAAATACTATAATATTTAAATTGCTTTTTATATTGTATATTTAATTAAGTTTATTTAATTGACATTTAGGGTTAGGATTTATTTTCCTTGCCAAATACAAAACCCTTTCTATACTTTATGCGCCGCCCTCCGTGATAAACGCTACCATGAGGAAAACTCCAAACCCAACACCCTTCGTTTGTCTGTCCAACATTACATGGTTAAGTAGTAAGCATCTTAAATTCAAATAGGATATAATTTTTCCAAAACACCTATGACCTCTCAATGACCTATGGCCTATGACAATTCAAAAATTAATTGAATACACCATGCAACAGCCTGAGATGTTCTTAAATAAACAATTACTATTTTAACTTTCTCCATCTGGGGTATTGAAAAATTATACAGAGAAGAAAATTTGGGATAAAGGATTACAATAAGCTGTGACCTTAAACTGTGTAAATCTATCCCAACCATATGTTTATTATTGTGGGTTACACCTTGTGTAACTTTATAACTTCATTGTCAATACATATAAAGGGGAAAAAAGAAAGAAAGACAAAACCACAGAATGTGAGCAAGGGTTTGGACAGTATCACACAGGCTTACCAACTATTTATTTCATACCATATAGCAGTTTACTTGTTTGCAAACTCAGTGCTGCACATAAACTAACATACTTCAAAACACACATACATTCACACAACTGAGGGCAACTCAATGGTTACAATGCTGTTTTTAACACGTTGACTGACAAGCCCATTTTTACAAGATTCATCCCATATGCCAAGGCATAAAGGTTGCCACCATTGAAAATCAATCTCATTAACTGCATTGAAACACAAACAAACATACAGGTGAGTTGGATGGCTGAGCAGTTAAGGCAGGGATGACTCAACGTACAGCCATAATATTGGTGCTGGTTTCGAACGGCATGCTCCCCCATGGTTCCGTGGTGGAACAAGTCTTCTCGGATAAGGGTTATAAATCGTAGGGCCAGTGTACGCAATTTGGGTAATTTAAAGAACCAATTCATCTTTTGAGACAAGTATGGAGATACCTTGGTGTACTGGTCCACTCAGCCCCGGTTGTTTGCAGACAAGAATAACTGGTAACGGTTTACCGGGTAGATGAGATACGAAGAGACCCTTAGGGGAAAAGTGAGTTACTGTAAGAACTAGTCCAAAACTCAAGTGCTTTGAGATCATATCGGTATGAAGCGCTATATAAATGTACAATACAATACAATATTATTTACCACATAGTGAACAAGAAGATAGTAGTACAGATACATGTAAATTGTAATATCTGCTATTTATAGCACATCATTATAATTTACACCTACCATGTCCACGAGTGATATGTATAAGAACATGCCACCGGCTAGGGCAAAGATCCACTCCCCCGCTGACGTAACTTCACCTAGGACGATGCCTAGGACCAATCCTAAGTAGCATGTCACAGCCGAGGCAAGGTTAGCCATCACGGCTTGCCTAATTGACAGACCAGATTTAAGTAATATAGCAAAATCACCTGCAAGTTAAAAACAAAAATCAGTTATTGAAATTGAGAATAAAGCAATTTTCACCATCATCATCATACCACTTTCTTTATAATATTTATTCTTAGCAATTTTTTTATATCAGTGGTTTTTATAACTATGGGCTGCAGTCCAATTTTTGGCCGCAAAGCATTGTTGGAGAAAAAAAAAATCAGATTTGGTTTTGTAAAACTGCTTCATTGATAGTAAATATGCAGTTTGTACAAATTTTGTCACTAATAAAACAGATAATGATATTAAATTATTGTATATCATAAGAAAGTAGAGGTAATTTTGGAAACAAAACGGAAATTCTTGCCGTTTTTTGGTACGTTGGTCCCTGGCTCTGCTGGGCCAAGGCTTGGAGCCTAGAATCTCAAGTAGTCATAAGGTAAAAAGTTCGAAGAACGCTGGTCTAAATAAGATAAACTGTATATTAGAAATAGCGATCCTGTTTGAAGGCCTGTTTACACTATGATGGTCAATGACAAAGAGCTAAAAAGCAATTATTCATATAGAAAATAAAAGAAATAAGTTTTCACACTAGCACGATTCGATAACAATTTATCGTGTATATGATAAAAAAAAAAATTTTACAAATCAAATCAAATGACGTCATAATCATGGGAAAAAGATAAAATCGTTTTTACTACTATGATTTTATTCTTTTCCCATGTTTATGATGCATTTGATTTGTAAAATTATTTTTTTTAACCGCATACATGATAAATCGTTGTCGAATCATGCTAGTGTGAAAACTTTTCTTATTTCTTTTATTTTCTGTATGAACAATTGCTTTTTAGCATTTTATTGTTGATCGTTATTGTCATAGTGTGAACAAGCCTTTAACCTATTATACAACACATTTACTAGTTAATCAATCAGTCTATCAATCCATAAATTTGGCAACAGTTTTTAAAGATTATTAAAGTAATAAAAATTGATAAAACCTTTCAGGTTGTACATACCTAACTCATGCGGAAATTCTTCGCATATCACTGCTATAGAAATGCTAATGCCACTTGCGATCGAATGTGTGAACGAAGCGCCGATCGCTAAGCCATCGATAAAATTGTGAAGACCATCGCCAAATACTATCATATACGCTACCGATGCGATTGCTTTTTTTGTCGTACTAAAGTCCATGTCGGAGTGGTCATGATTGCAATGATTTATAATATCACCATTCATCTGAAAACAAAATATGTGAGTGAACCTAATCTTTTTATTGACTTTTTATTGAAATTAAATTATTAGTAATAGTATAATATTCATAAATATAAATAATATGAATGATCACAAAAATAATTATGGTGATGATGTCTATGGCGATAAGGATGATAATTATAATAATATGATAGAGAAAATAATAGTTTTTTATAACTGAATGAATATAATAGTACTCATAATATTAAGCATGAAAAAAATATAATTATTAATAATAATAATAATAATGAAAATAATAAAATTATAATTTTTATTAGTATGTAACAGTAATAATAATAATTATAATCATAAAAATGAAAATATTTAAAATAATAAAAAGAAAATTTACAGGTCTTAATCTCTGTCCACGTATCAAATTTTCTTGGACAAAAATATCGTTGTATGCCCATATATAGTCATAATGTGCCTATATATGGTCATGATGAGACATGACCATATTTAGGCATGTCATATTCTTCTGTCAAATAAAATTTGATAGTCTGGACAAGGCGTTATACTTGATAAGCTGGACATGCACTATCAAATTTTAGTCTGTCAGACTTAACGACATTTGATGAGACTTTGCATATGGTAGTACGCTTGCTTTTTTTTCAATATGATTAAACAAATTCAGAGAGTGCTACTATTTCTTGGAAGTCTGTACAAATATTATTTGTCTGACAAACAAAAATCTGATATATTATGCTTGGCTGTACATACCTGGTCACGTTCCGCATCACCATTCAACATCACATGAAACTGGATGTTGGTTCCGTTACAAGGTGCGTTGGAATGGTCATCCAACGTTTGTGGTGTAAAGTGATTGGATGGACTTTTTGTTTCGTAGACCGTGTATACCTTTTCTGGACCAGCCATTTGACGTTTCTAATGAAAAAGTGTAAAAGAAATTTCCAAATAATTTATGCAAATATGACACCTTTAATAATAAATATATGTATCTATTAATATTATTATTATTATTATTTTCCAAATTTAAGGTAGCTTGTATAAAATGTACTTACTTCTTTCTTCTTAATGGCTATGATTTTTAAAATTCTCTCAACTAAAAAGAAAAGATAGATTCCACCGAGGACTGTCATGTTTTTCCACACAAACATTTGCCCTTCAGTATCCACTAACATTCCATGAGCCTGTGAATGATTTAAATCAGTCAATAAATTAAATATTCCATAAACAAATCAATCAATCAATCAATCAGTTATCAGTCACCAACAATCAATCATTATCCAACCAATCAATCAACCAGTAAATCAAGCTATTAATTAATCAAACAATCAAGCATTGACCAATCATTAACCAACCAATCAATCAATCATCCACCAAGCAGTCATCAACCAATCAATCAATCATCAACCAATTAGTCATCAACTAATCAATCAATCAACCAACTAATCAATCATCAACTAATCAATGAATTCATCATCAACCAATCAATCAATCTTCAACCAATCAATCACCAACCAATAAATCAAGCTATCAATTAATCAAACAATCAAGCATTCACCAATCATTAACCAACCAATCAATCAATCAATCATCCAACAAGCAGTCATCAACCAATCAATCATCAACTAATCAATGAATTTATCATCAACCAATCAATCAATCTTCAACCAATCAGTCAATTCATCAACCAACCAATCAATCAATCATCAACCAATCAATCAATCATCAACCAACCAATCAATCATCAACCAATCAATCAACCAATCATCAACCAACCAATCAATCAATCAAGCATTGACCAATCAATCATCAACCTACCAATCAAGCAATCATCAACCAACCAATCAATCATCAATCAATCAACCAATCATCACCTAACCAATCAATCAATCAATCATCAGCCAATCAATTAATCAATCAATTAATCATCAACCAATAAATCAAGCATCGAACATTTAATCAAGCAATTAAGTATCGACTATTCAATCAATCAAAAATTGACTAATAATCATCACCCAACTAATCAATCAAATCAATCAATCATTCATTTAACATATGCAGCTTTTAATAAAAATTCTGAGTTTGAAGAATTCGCTCAGATGGGAGTCGCATGCCAAATTTGCACCACTTTGTAGGTACAGGTTAAACCTGGAAAAAGCTACAATTAATATGTATACATAGTGTATTTGTTATAATACATTTGTTACAAGCATACATGTGATTCATAATTTCAGAAATATGACATTATGTAACTGAGTATAATAAAACAGCTCTAAAATTATTTTAAATTGTTAAAATGCTCCTTCGAATCTTACTCACAATTGATCATTCATGACTAAGAATAGTTCCTAGGGAGCACAGAATGTTGCACGTCACTTAATGTGTAATTGATATGTGTACAGTACCCAGCAAAGGGCAACAAAAGTATTGTGATATTTTTAAACTAATGCTGCAAAATCTGGTAAATTGAAGAGGAAATAAATGTTAAGTTTGTCTGAGTTTGAAGAATTTGCTCAGATGGGAGTCGCATGCCAAATTTGCACCACTTTGTAGGTACAGGTTAAACCTGGAAAAACCTACAATTAATACATACATAGTGTATTTGTTATAATACATTTGTTACAAGCGTACATGTGATTCATAATTTCAGAAATATGACATTATGTAACTGAGTATAATAAAACAGCTCTAAAATTATTTTAAATTGTTACAATGCTCCTTCGAATCTTACTCACAATTGATCATTCATGACTAAGAATAGTTCCTAGGGAGCGCAGAATGTTGCACATCACTTATGTGTTTGATGTCTGCATAGTACCCAGCCAAGGGCAACAAAAGCATTGTGATATTTTTTAACTAATGCTACAAAATCTGGTAATTTGAAGAGGAAATAAATGTTAAGTGATTGTGCTTCCTTATTGATGACAAGTTAATCTTAAGATAAATTGTAGTAGATATTAAATTAATTAATAATTTGGATAGTAAATAAATTTCAAAGCTGCTGTATAGATAACAGTACAACATTTTTTTTTTTTTTTTCTCTTTCGTAGGAGTTTAACCCACTTTTATTTCTTTCTCTTTTTGTTACTTTTCTTTTTTTTCAGCTTCTAATACATATTTAAAAGAAAAGAAGTATACAAAATAAAAACAATTGCACATAGGAGGGGTCAGTCCACAATGGCTGACTATCTTTCTTTTTTTTTTTTTTAACATCCTTCCACTTGTAATACTTTCTAAATATTTTTTACCAAGATGTAATTAACATTATTAACATCGTACATTAAAAAGAATTTCTTCAAGTTAACTTTTTCATAAAAAAAAAAAAAATTTATATACATATACACTGCACATATACATAATATTATTTTCCTTTTAAATCCAACCTTTACCTTTCATGGGAATTTCATTCTCCTTTATTTCTTTCTTTTTTTGTTATTTTTTTTTGTATGGAATACACTCACATACATATACATTTCACACTCATGATATATATATCCTGTCTCTTATACACATCTAGATGTGTATAAGAGACAGGTATTACTCTTTCATCCCAATTTTTTGAGTGCAAAGACTTTTGTTATACCCAATGTATACTCCTAGTATTTTGAAAGAATCTCTCCATTGAATATTTCCTGGTTGCTCTTTTTTATTTTTCCATGTTCCGAGCCACATAGCATTTGTTTTTTGTTTAGATAATTTCAATTTTGCTATGTTACAGATAACAGTACAACATTGTGTACACCATTATTCCTGAATATGAACTCATAAAACTAGTATGGTTGGGGACTTATTACAGTACTGTATATAGTGCATGTAACAATAAATTATAAATATTAAAACAATAATATTGTAATAACTTAAAAATAGCTTTGTTATAGTCTTAAATAATATTAGTCAGTGTTTTTTTGTTGTTGTTGTTGTTGGTCCTTTGGTGACTGTTTTATTGGTTGTTATCTGATATCTTATTGTTATATTTTATTGTAATTACTGTATTTTACTGCATTTGACCATTGTTTTAATATTTTTACTGTCAATATTAAGTACCAAATTTCCTTGTTTGGAGCAATAGAGCTTATCTTATCTTTTTGTGGTCTCTACGAAGAACGAAAAATAGCAAATTCAATTCTAGTAGGTCAACTAGGCTAGTCACGCTAAAATAAATGCGAAACAGATAAACACAAAGGAACCAACACTATCGCACCGTTCACCTGCAGTCTGAGACCACCGACAAGCAGTGGTTAGCAGGTACATGACTCACAGGTGCTCAAATAGTGTTGACTTCAGGCCTAGCCTTTCCTAAACAATGAAAGTGAAAATAAACAGAAAACAAGGACAAATTAAAGACAGAAAAAGGTGGGATTGAATTATGATAGAGCTAATACATAATTTTTTTCCAGCAGATATTTTAGTTGTTTATTAATACATCCTTCTATAGTAGCTTGATCAAACCACATATTTGGTATGAATTACAATTTTCTTATTAGAACTGGACCAAGACCAAAAGGATATAAATCAGATTTGACTACAATATATAAATCCATATATAATTCAAAGACACAAAATACCATATATTAGAAATAAAATTTTAATTATGATTACTTTAACAGAAACAGTCACCACAATTGAACCAAGGTTACTTTGGAATAATATGGATCAAGATACATGATTGGTTAATGTAATTATGAATAAATTATAATTTTCTTTCTAATTGGACCAGGGCAAAAATCTTGAGATAAGATGTGATTATGTTAAATCCATAAAAAATAATAAAAACGCAAATTAATTAAACACTAAACACAATCGAACCAAGGTTACTTTGAAATAATGTGGATCAAGATACATGATTAGTTAATATAATATGAATACATTATAATCTTCTTTCTAATTGGACCAGCGTAAACAAATCTTGAGATAAGATGTGATTATGTAATCCATTAAAAAAAAAAACCCCCCAAAAAACACAAATTAATTATTACTTATTTCTTTAACTAACTACTGTAACAGTAAACACATTAAAGACAATATAAGATATCTTCAATAATTAGTAATTAAATAATAAAATTATTACAAAATATTTACTGTAGTAAATTAAAAATAAAAATCAACTATGATTACTTTAACTGAGACAATAAACACAATCAAACCTAGGCTACTTTTGAATAATAACAATATGAATCAAGATACATGATTTGTTAATGTATACTATGAATAAATTATAATATTCCTTCTAATTTACACCAGGGCCAAAAAATATTGAGATAAGATGTGATTATGTAAATATCCATAAATTTAAATGAAGACAATAAATTCTACATATTAAAAATTGAACCAGTAACAATAAACAATGAAGACACGGTTACTTTGGGATGATAAACAAGTAACCAAATAATGAATTAAAATATGACGTCAATGGTTAATGAAAATATGAGTTCACTCTAATATCTTCCTTTAATTTGGACCAGGGCCAAAAAATATCATGAGATAAGATGTGATTAAATCCATTAGAAAAAAAAAATAATTCCAAAAAACGAAATTCTATAATAAAAATAGAAATTAATATAATATACCAGAAACATAAAACACAAACGAGACATGGTTTACCAAACATGAATTATTTAAAGACGTCGCTGGTTTTTTTTATTACTATTAATCTTCCTTCTTATTGGACCAGGGCCAAAAATCATGAGATACAATTGTTATTAAATCAATAAATAAACATAAATAATTAACACAACATTCCATATTATTAAAAGCAGAAATTATTTATTAATTTACTTTACCAGTAACAGTAAACACAATTGAGACAATGTTACAATTAACATGCAAATTGACAAAACATTATTGGTAATCTAATTATGAATAAATTATACTTTCCTATCTACTTGGACTAGGACTAAAAACCTTGAGATAAGATATGATTAATATAAAATTAATTTAACAAAAAATAATCCAAAACACAAAATTCCATAAATTAAAAATAGAAATCTAAATTATTTTATCAGGAAAAGATAACACAATCGAAACAATTTTACATTGCAATAATAAACAAACAACTTGGACCAAATATGAATTTAGATAATTGACTGATTAATGTAAATATGAATATAATACTAATCTTCCTTCTAATAGGACAAAGGCTAAACATTGACATTATGTTTGGTTTTTATTATTATTATTACAGTATTATGTTTATTATTAACTGTTATTATATTTACTGTATTATTGCTATTACTATTATCATTGTTATTATCAATGTTAATATAATTATTATTGTTTTATTATATTAATATTATCTTATTAATATTATTACTATTTTATCATGATTATTATTTTTATTGATATTATTACTTGGGGACCCCTTCTGAAACAAGCCTTCAGGCTTAAAGGGTCATCCTCTGCTTTCCATGTGTAATTTTAAGAAGGGTGGGTTTATGGTGTTTTTCTGATTTGTTTATGTATTATTTTCATCACTATGATCACTTTTCATCTTTTCTTTGTAATGAATTCATAGAAAGCAATAAATATCACACACTCCACAAACAAAAATAATTAAACAGAACATAAAATTCCACACATTATTCTGATTTGTTTATGTATTATTTTCATCACTATGATCACTTTTCGTCTTTTCTTTGTAATGACTTCATAGAAAGCAATAAATATCACACACTCCACTTAAGTCAACAAAAAAAAACCAATTAAACAGAACATAAAATTCCAGACATTAAAAATAGAATTAATTCTACATACTGTATTTACCGGGAATGAAGTCAAGGTTATACTTTCGATAATAAACTTAGAACTTGGGCAAAATATGAATTTTAACCAGATGTTGCGGATCAAACAGACTTACCTCTGGTATAAGGCTTAGTACAGCATTTGCCGACAATGTGCCAACCGCCAGACATATAAGAAACATTAACACTTTTTTGTAAAGATGCTTGTTCATCATCGGAACAACGCATACTCCAAGTACAGCACCGACATTTATGATTGTCACAAAGAGGAAACCATATCCCCATGCTGTAAAATACAAGCAAAAGAAAAATAATCATATTTCTACACTGTATGCCAATCACAATTTCTGTCCACCCTAAACCATAATTTCTCTCCCATGAACCAAACAGGGATTTTATTCTAGAGCCCCCTTCAGTAACCGTTACCGCAATATTGTGGCAGTATTACTAGGATGCAAGGTTGCCTAAAGTAAGCCGGCATATTGGCGTATGGACCCTTTCAGACAGAAAGCCATGCCGGCGTGCTTACCGCAATATTGCGGTATTGCAGCTCTGTCTGAAAAGGGCTTAGGACCTTGGACCTCCTCTCAGACTTGTTTGACCCCCTATCATACCATCATGCCTGCACATTTTTAAATTTACCACCGGCTTTCCACCTAAACATATGGAACACATACTCTTTCCTCAGTAATTTTAAGTTCTGACAAATATTGTAAATGTTATGATGAAAAACCTGGGCAAAAAAGAAATAGCTAAAATTTACATAACTTGTTCAATTTACAGTATCTTGACCTGTTGTGTGTACTGAACAACTTTTCATTCCATTAATAATGCAACTTTTAATAACTATAATTTTTATCTAAACTGTAGTGATTTTTACCATGTTAAATTTAAAGTATTAACAAATATAAAGCTATTTGGTATTAATATTTGTATGTAAAATAGATTCAATAGTAAAAATTAAAATGTACATTAATATCTTGAACAAAATAAGTTTTTAGAATGCTGTATTCTTCTCTTACTTTCAAGTTTTGTGGGTTCAGCGGTATTGTTAACAGTCATCTTGCAATACAAATCTGCTGGCTACAAAGCTCCTTAAATGCTCAGTAGAGAAAAACTAGCAATCTCCCTCCTCACTCTCTTTTCAATGTTCTGTTGAAATACCAGTAATACTGCAGCTTTTAATTAGCGCTCTTATAATTTTACGTCCAATACACTGATATCTGTTGCACCTTTAATTTAGCACTCTTTAAATTTTAAGTTTGATACACCGACTTCTGTTCCACGCCTGAACTACCAATCTTTTGTAGTATGGTACAAAGACGTCTGTTCAGTACCTTCTAATTATTTCTCTTCCAATTAATCTGCTCTTGCGACTATATTTTCAGTTTGTACGCCAACCTTGGATTTCGATTTGCGCTTCTTCGATGTTCAATACATCAACTTTTTTTGAGAGCTAAAAGCACTTCTCTGCCGATGCCCTTGCTGTTACAAGTGTGTGCGAACCTGTGGTATATAATGCGACATAAAATATTATTCATAGTATTAAAACCAGTTAATTGAAGTTAATTATTGTAGTTGGATTGTGTTAAGTACCAGTCGTAATCTGTACACAGATGGCAAAGACACATACTTTAATTATTTTGTAGCTTTATGGTTACTATTATAGCAACAAAAGGTTTTAAGCATATTATTATTGACCTTTTAACAGATGGGAAATACTAGGTGACTTCACATAGAACTGAATGAATCTAGTATTTGACTGAATGACTGATTGATTAACTGCACAGTTGAAACAGAGAGCTTTATTAATTTATAAAGGCCAAATATCTGCCTCACTGAAGCCTTGTTCCGATGGTGTAAGTTACACCAGTGATATCATAGTTATCGAACATGCGCTTGTTATGAGGCTGACACCGACCATATGAACGGGGTCACCTGAGGGAAAACAAGCGCTTCAAACCGCAAGATAACACCGACAAATGGCCGGATTGGCAAGGCTCTAATCTGATAAAACTTGCTGTTAATTGACTTGCCACATGTTGATTGCAATAAAATCTATAGCTTGACCACGGTCTCATTTTCAAGGCAATTCTACTAGGGCCTAGTTGGTTCATAACATCAACCAAAACATCTTTAAATTTACCTTTTTGAGTTGTTTCTACTCCATAATTGTCAATTTTTAATCCAAATAAAACATTACAGGATAAATTTATATTATTACCATTCATTGTAAACTTCATATAAATTTTCATGTCTTATTTTGGGAAATCCGCAAAATACCGTGGTAGTTTGTTCGTTGTGTCTAAAGATACGGCTGAACGAGATACGGCAAAAGACGACGAGATACTGTATCAAATTACAGCTATTACAGTAGCCTTATCTTTAGCCACTATTCACACACTCAAGCAAGAACAACCACGAACGACGTTCATACTCGCATACTACATTTGGTTGCTTAGTTTTTATGCTGCCTAAAATCGCCTATATGTTCATACAGTAGGTAGGCTTAGGTTAGGTGAGAGAAAAAAAAAATCAGAGAGATTTGTCGTCTTCGTTTTATTGAAACATCATTATGAGATCAATAGAAATAATTTTAATCATTTTTATATCAGTGTATAAGTGCTATAACTATCTGCTACAGTATAACTCTCATGTAGACATACGAAAAAATTTGATGCGATCTTGATTGGATTTCTCATTAACTTGCATCGGACAGGAGTGATTGTCGGAACATAGTTTGATAATAGGTTGTATACTACGCATGCCTACTTTCCCACCAGGTTGGTACTGCCCTTGGATGGCTGACTCTATGAATTATCTAGTTTATGGGAAATCCTATATATATTCTGGTATATTTCATTCAATCATCATAATAAAATGAATTGAGATGAATAAAATTACAAAAATAAAAACTATTCATAGATACTGTACATACATAAAATCCTATAAATTATTACCATTACACTATTAATATCATTATGATTTTTACAAAAATTATAATTTAAACATTCAAAAAAACTAATTGCACATAAAAAAAAACATTTCATACAACACTTTAACTATTAGCCAGGCAGAGTATTGGTATGCAACACAGGTGGGCAAAGTGCGGCCCTACAGCGATTTTTTTTACAAAAAAAAAAAAAAAAATCAGCGACATTTTATAATATAAAAAGATATTAAAATCGTTAAAAAATTTACATTAATAAAGGTCAGGTAAAGAGAACATTGAAAATACGATAAAAAATATAAACAATTCAGTCACAACACCAAAAGAGTCAAACAACATTCGAAAATACAAGATAACAAAGCAAGATGAACAGAAACAAAAAAAATCAGAAAATTGAGTCACTGGTTGATGAAGTTGATTAGGAAAGGTATAGCACAACTCTTATACTGTATATGCCCACCACTGGTACACAAGCTAAGCAATAATGGAAAAGAACAGATGCCTCATTCGATGATACATTTAATTATACTTCAAGTAGTTTTAACATTTAACTTTTAATTGGAACAATCGTAGTGATTCAGTTTTATTACTGCCAATTAACATGTTGAATAATCTTTTTGAATGAAATGAATTAATGAAAATTGGACCTCGTTGGTAGGCAAAAAAACAACATACTGTACATTTATTATTTAATTAATTAATTCATAAAACTCAACTTCCTCTTTATGTTTATGTAACATCGTATACCAATTCTGTCCCTTTCTGACAGAAGAAAGTAATCAAAATAATTAACATTTTATTTCGGTTCTTATAAAAAAAAAGTGTACACATGTGAATTGTGCAGCAAGGGACTGAAATCCCGATCTTGGGGTTGGGAAATCAAACCATTCGCACAGCGCCAATCCATTACTACTACAGTACCTGCAGAAAACTTGGGACCCCTGAGCCTCATCTCCTCATTTAAAACACAAAACAAAAAACAAATCTAAATCATACATGACCACTTCTTTGTTTCTCCTAAAATAGACAATAAACCACTAGTACTGTAGTTAGTAAACCATACAAAATGTAGGCCTACATTCAACATTACAGGTTATAACTTTGTAAATTGAAAAAAATTCCACTCTCAATAGAAACAAAAAATCTTTGAACAGTTTAAAAGCAAAACAAAAAATATATTTTAGTTATAGGTAACTTGTAGGCTCCTGTGTATTTATCAGTGGTTTATTTATCTCTGAAATTATTGAAAAGTTCACTTGCTTGTAGATAAGAAAAATAAACATTTGAATTGGAAATGTAAAGATCCAAGTTTACTTGAAGTGTTGTGGTGGTAGTAACCGGTATCAACACAAAAAACATAATTGACGAAAAACTTGAAGAGCAATATTGAGAATACAGATTTCCTAATATTTAAAACTGTGGGGAGGTGGAAAAAGAGCTTTCATCATACAGCTTTATAGCCAGTTTATGCTGAGGCTATAGGAAGCATAGATGGTTTTGTTGTAAGGAAAATTGGTCACATAAAAGGAAATGAACCCAGAACCATAGGCTTAGCCAGTGAGCCGTCTGGCCGTCGTTTGGACGGCCACTTTTACCGTGACGCTTGGATGGCTTGGCAGCTCGGCCTACTGTAGCCTAACTGGGCCTGGTCTACCTTCAGCAAAAGTAAAGTAAAGAAAGTGCAGAATGAGAGGAGCATGTTACCGTAAGCCTACTGTATTCCAAAACAAGCATATTTTCAATTTAATTTCCATTGCTGTCTATGTTCTCAAGCATTTCTAAACAAAGTCTTAATACCGCCATTCCCCTTCCACCACCCTTTCCGGGACTCATTTGGTCCGGACTTGGAAATTGCCGTTTTCTTAGAAAACATACAGACGTTACATGTACATAAAAGTCCTAGTCAAAGCTCCATAGTAAAATGGGTGGCAGTTAAAAAGGTGTTCGATCATTTCAGCCGCAACTCATTTCGGCAGCCGTGCCAAATGTATGAAATGCCAAAGAGGCCACCGAATATACAACAGCCGCCAATGAGAAGAACTTAGTCATACAACAGCTGGACAACAAGGAGAAAATATCTAAGCCTAGGCCTACAGTGATTAATTAAGAATTTATTTACCGGTATAAAAACATAACGTGATAAAACAAGAATATTAAAACTATATTTGTTTAAAGATCCAGTAGAATGTGTGTTATTATTATAATATAGGCCCTATGCCAAATAAGTAATTATGTATTGTTAGTTTTATTGTACAGTACACATCCTCCGATGTGTTTAATGTACAATGTGAAAATGTTTGATGTTGATAAGTAATAGATTTATTTTTCTTGCATGATAATGACTAAAAAATGTAGTGTAAAAAAATATGCGGCCGTAGGATGTCATTCATACATTTGTTGATTTTGTTTGATGGTTGAGACAGTAAATAATTAAGAATTTATGTACCGGTATAAAAAAATAAAATACTAAAACGAGAATATTAAAACTACATTTGTTTTTGACTATGATGACATTTCGTTTGTTGATATGTTTGAATTTTTGATTTATTTTTTCTTGTGTGATGACATGTTATCCACGCAAACATATTTACTGTATAGTATACAACTTTTTTTCGTCACTTGTTGATATGTTCAAATTTTTGATTTATTTTCAATGTTGAGAATTGGTGAATAAAATGAGAAAATATTTTACACATCTTGCACCTTGTGTTTTATGTACAACTTCGATGACATGAATAATATAGTGCCCCACCAATAATGATCTCGAATTTCATACTAAATCAAAGTTGATTTTTTAATTTTTATTACGCCCGCTGCTGCCTTGAAATCTCCAACTGTATATTTCTTCCTTAGGCCTAGGCCTATATATTATATACTTTTAAAGCATTTAACCATAGACCTATTAATAAGGTCTTATTATTAATAGGTCCATGATTTTTCTTCCGTAATGAAAATGAACAAAAATTGTAACTGTTAAAAATCGTCTTGTTGTTTCTTGGTTTTTGTACTTTTTAATGTTTATGGTCGAATAAATAAATGAAAGATGACATTTATAGCTTATACTGTACATGTAGGATTTGTCATTCATAGTATTATACATTTAGTTAGTCGGTGGTTGAGACTGTTGTGCATTGGTGAATAAAACGAGAAAATATTTTACACAACTTGCGCCTTGTGTTTTATGTACAACTTTGATGACATGAATACAAAATATAGTGCCCGCCAATAATGATTTCGAATTTCAGAAAGAAATTAAAGTTTTTAAAAAATTTTTATTACGCCCGCCGCTGCCTTGAAATCTCCAAAAATAATTGCATATTTCTTCCTTAGGCCTATATATTATATGAATTTAAAGGATTTAACCATCTCCGATATGTTTTATGTACAACATGTTTTTCTAATTATATACATTTAAAGCATTTAACCATCCCATTTCTACACTGTTTACCAATAAAACAAGATATAAAAGATACATGGTGTTATATTTTTTTATTGTACAATGTGTGAAAAATTTTACTACAATCAGTGCACAAGGACCAACAACGACCTGCAAGGTTGGCATTACCGCCTAAACCACAAAAATGAGGTAAGATATTATTAAATTAAAAACTGTTACTTTTAAGTATATGCTAACACTGTGAAAACATATGAAAACATGAATGAAGACTATAGCCTTATAAAAGAACTAAACAGATGAAAAGACACCATTGTTGTCGTATTCTTGTCGTTTTTCTAAGAGTATTATCAATCAAATGAGTGTGACTAGTGCATTAAGTTGAAGACAACACCCATAAATTATAGTCTAATAAGATTGGACTTTGAATATATAAATGGAAAGATTGAAATATTATTATACATACACAATCCCTTATAATATTTGATATTTTATTCCTATATGATATTTATGTAAATTGGCTTATTTTTGTATTTATTATGTAAGTTTCAGTATATAGTTAAATATTTACAGTGATTGTTACAACTTTAGTATCAATAAAAGAAGATTATACCATTTTAAATTTTGCTATTTTTTGCTAGTCTTGTAGTGAGGTGTTTCAATTTACAATACATATACTGTACCGCCATAATTAATATTTACGAAAACGTATATAATTATAACAATACAATTACATATAATTAACCATTAATCGGAACTAGTTTATAGACAGAATTTATTCCCTCATCGTCTAAAGAACAAATTAAAATCATTATCATTATAAATCAGTTTACTATAACAATTTATTATAGAGTAGGCCTAGTAGTATAAAATGTGAATAATTACTGTATCATTAGGGGATAAAACAACTTCGGCCGCCGACAACTTCGGCCGCGTGGAATTTGTATGGCGCGCCATATGGGCATTATCCCTCACCAGCTATTTGATTGTAGCAAGGTGGATTCTCCCATCAAGTAAATAGCAGCCTAACTGTTTTCTTTTTTTTAAATTGAATAATTTATGATAAAAAGAAATACAAATAAAATATATGGTATGTATTGATATCATATATCGTGTGTGAATGTTAAAAATCTCTAGAAAAATAGGTGCACATGTTTCATCTGTTTCCGACCTTCATCCATGTTATGTCTGTTCAGAATTTATTCTTACAACTTCGTAAGTTTTAAAAGCAAAAGCAAATAAAAAAGTATATACAGTATCACATGTTTGTAGGCGAGATAGAACAAGCCAGTCAGCTATTCCGCGGCTAGTAAGCAGCATTAGTGCGCCTACATTTGGCGGCGTACAAAGAATCAACTACGTAGGTGACTGACCTTGTGTCTGCTTCTCCCAATAGCGTTGTGGGAACCTACTTGTTGGAATGTTTCTTACTGATTTCACTGTTACTAGGCAACTTGCAGTACAAGCAAAGTCTTGCAGTACAGGCAACTTTGTATTTTGTTGCCTATTTTAAGCAGTTTATTTCAATTAATGACAAAGTAAAAGCATCAATACAGAACTGTGTGAATTAATTTTATTGCCTTAGTTGTTAAAAATTTTAATATTGTGGGTATAAAATTTGTTTTTAATACATTCTATCTCCCTAAAAGAGAGTGGCTGCAAAGGCAATGTATACACAAATACATAATAACGCTAAAGCGTAAAGTACAATATTTTCATTATTTGAAATAATACGTTTTTCGAGGATAGATCTTCATCTATTTACATGTCTATCGTTCATATTTTAATCTTGTACATTATACAAACCATAAAACCCAACCCTAAAAATACAGTTCTGAGTTACTTATGAATGATTATTAAAATCAATATCACAATCATAAATGAAATTAATATACTTTATTATTTGTGAAGAAATCCTCATAAACCTTACAAAAGTAAAGAAGGATACAAAATATAGCACAACTAATGCTAAAAAAACACATTATCCTTGTTCTTTTCCATCACTTTTATTATATATTTATACTCATAAATGTTATAAAAGTAAAGTAGGATACAAAAATATGGCCGGCACAATTGATTCTAAAAAAAACGCTACCAACAGAACTCTATTGCCCCCCCCCCCATACTTTCTATTGTTAAAAATCTGGCGGCCGAAATGATCTGAGACCGTTAAGAAAAGGGCCCCTTTCAATAATAAATCTGCTGAAGAGTGTGTTTGTGGGATTTTGGCCTATTTAGTTTTTTGAAAAAAGGTTACCGTAAGGAGTGCTAGGCAGTACTAAGAGGGGCCCACTGTGGCCTCTCTGGGCCCACTTATACGCCACTGTGTGGAAGGAACCCTGTACTTACGTGTCTGTCTACACCAGGCGAATGAATGAATGTACAGTACTACTACTAGTACTACGGGGAGCTTTCGTTCAAATCGAATCAGCTGGGGCCTACGTCCTAGCCTAGCCTGCCGAGGATTCAAAAGGTGCGATGCCTCATTTGTGTTGTCTAATATAATATTATGCCACCGATCGAGTATTGAGTAAGCCTATAACAACTATATATTCAGATGAAACATCAGCTAAAGTATAGTCTTACCTCTTTACTTTGAGTTTAATCTTCAGGCAACCTGCCACCCCTCTATAATAGTCAAACGTGGCTACGCATGTGTGTTTGCGTATACATACAGTTCACGCCGTGAATGAATGACGTCACAGCGTTCGCCAATACTAGGGCATACAAATTTTGCTCAGGCATAGTGTTTTTATTTTTCGCAAATTTTAGACTCAAAATGTTCTTATTTTGTTCAAAATTCAGAATTATTACCCTTTAACAAAATTAAGAACACATTTTATAAAAATACGGATTGAAATTTCTTAAAAATTACGAACAATCAATCAATAATTTGTGCTTTTCACGGTTAGGCCAAATAAAAAAAATATTACTTGTTTAGCGTCACACATCACAACACAGTTTTAGGTGGGGAGGGGCGGTTTTTTATTTTTTTTATTTTTTTTATTCTACAGTATCAGTAATCGAATAAAATGTGTTGAAATCGATCATTTTCAATAGGCCTACAATAAATATTACACCTAGTTGGTGAAATCTGTATTAATTCACTTAAAATAGGTCTATACTTCATTTTGATTAGAATTTCCTGGACAATACTAGTATTCATTTTTTTTTATTAAAAAAATAATTCCCGCCTCTAAACTTTTTATTTTGCTTGAAAATTCAGGTGGGGTGGTGACGCTAAACAAGTATTATTTTTTTTTGCCTTATTACTAGGCCTATTTGTTTTGTTATTTTTATTATGATCACTATATTATTATTATTATTATTATTATTATTATTATTATTATTATTATTATTATTATTATTATTATTATGAACAAATATATGAGCCTGAGTGTCAATAAGTTTTTAAAATTTATTTAAAACAACTAGAAAAACCAACAAATCTTATCTGTCCTTCAGGGGTCGTTCAACATTATCAACATTTCCCAAGTGACCCCCGTGGGGAAAATCCCGGAGCCGCCACTGCCTCATGACTTTTTGTAGTAAATGTAAAAACAAAACAAACTGTAGGCCTATTATAGGCCTACAATTTATAAATCCTTGTTTATTGTAAAATTCTTGCAAACATGTGTCTGAAATTCCAGTCCCGCTATAAAATTAGGTGGCGCTGTGCATGTTTGACAGTGCCACCTACAGTATTACAAGTTCGATGATGATCATTGCAATAAACAAAAGAAAAACAAAAATTTCACAGGGGGCGGGGCGAAAGAGGGAGTGGGGGACGATCGAGAAAACAAAAGATAGGTGGTCCGGGGGCATGCCCCGCGAGAAATTTCTGTGTTCTAGACGCCCAAAAATAACCTCTGAGCCCTTTCGGGCGATACATTTTTTTTTAATTTCAAAAAAGTGAGACCGGGGCCGGCTAAAGCCGCCCCTGAATATGTTGTTGTAATTTAACTGTCATTGTTTACATTAGTTAACTATATTATTTATATTTGTTTACTTAGTAGTACCGGACCTAGCTTTGATATTGCATATTGTTATGAATTATAAATGATATGAGTAAATAAAACGGATTTGAATTTGAATTGTTCAGTGATTGATCCGATATATAAAAATCAATTCACTTATATCAAATGTGTTTTTCCTTTTGGTCCCAACAAGTAGAAATGTTTATTATTATCGTATTATTATCAACAGTGCAGCAAATAGCTAGCTGGCTCTTTAAAGATGCCCTCTGAGAACATTTAGAAAATCTAAAGATTTATTGTTAAAATAGTATAAAATCAGGAGACCCTGCTCCTAAACCAACCCATCGATGGTACACGTCTTAGTTGACCTGGTCAGTCATATTTGCACTAGTAAAGGTCCCGGACTGTACTCTTGAACCAGGGACCCCCACATCTTGTTACGCCGCTGTTCCTATGGTAATATACTTCACTGTGATAGATTTGTTTTTGTTTTTGTTTTTTTGTTTTTTTGTATTTTGTTTGTTTTAACCATTGTATTTGTACTTAGCTTGCAATCTTTGTATCGTGATAGCGAAATAAAGTGATGATGAACATTTATGACGAGTCATACAATTAATAACAACGGAAACAAAACTTTAAGTTTAGGGATACAGTTTTATTTCAGAAAAAAGTAAGAGTTAAGAAGCTTTATTTTATAAAACCAAGGAAAGCTAGAAAATCACTTTCCGGTACATACGGATTTAATATCCGAAACAACAAATAAGTTTAGCATTGGCCTTCATATTTTTTAACAAGATACATATATAATGACCATACATTAGCTTATCAATATAAACTTTAATTTCGATTCAATTGCATAAATTATTTGAAAAGAAAAAAAAATCGGATTGGTAGGCCTATCTATTTAGAAATGTTCGTAAAGTGTTTACTAAAGAATCCATATGGATTTTCATTTATTCTCGAGTAACATCAATAATTGTGTTTTCATTTTTTTTGTTTTTAATAAACTGATTTTGCTTTCTAAACGAATCGTGTGAAGAGAATGAAAGCAAAGTTAGCAAGCATGGTGAGGAGACTGACGACGGGGGTTACGGCTCCGGCTGACATGTCGTTCATATCATTACAGAGAGGTTCTGTGCAGCATTTGCTACACGACTTCTTCCACACAATGCCTGTAACGAAAATAAAATATATCTGGATTGCAGTACGATAACTCAATATTATACAACCATATTCATTTTTAGGATTTTTGTATAACGAAGTATGCCTAACATTGATAAATGCTTGAGGACCCTTCGCTGAGAAGTCTGTGAGAAGAACTGTTTTTCTCGCAGTTCTTTTCGGAACAGTCTAGGCCATGGCGATTTTCAAATTCCGGGTCGGGCGACGCAAAATTGAGTGATCAAGAAAATTTGAGGGTCGACTCTTCGGAATGAGAACAAAAACATATATCCTAGCCCGATATATCCTAGAAAAGAGAGTAAATTGCCAGGATGTTTGTTTGGCCTGGGCCGTCGGCCAAAAAATTTGAGAACGGCTAGTCTAGGCCTACTTGATGTACTATATAAGCATTTCATCATCACTATTATCAAAAAGAAAAAAACAGTTTTCGTAATAAAGGTCTTCCTTCTCTACTTTTGGGACCGGTGTTTTCCCGGTCTTTAGCAGCTTAGAAAATAATTATCATAAAGATAAAAGATGTGTTCTATTCTGGGGCCGCAGAAAAGTGGTCATTAATAATTGGAGGCGTTTTAATTTAGAAGAAGACCTGTATAGTTAACTTTATTGTTACCATATTCGTGTTCATTATCATTATCTATAATCATGATCATTATCATTAATTTGATAAATATAGATATATAATTGCCATTATTAATTATTATCATATAGGCCTAGGACTACTTAGCTATTATTACCGTCATCGTCGGTTTGATTTATATGCTGGCACCCTGCCCAGCATTCCGCGCTGCAAAATCTTGCAATGTGCACCTCTCCATGTTCAGAAAGCACATGCCTGCCCTAGAGAAATATAAATATAAAGGATGTTAACTACAGTTCATTCTCCAATTGGTATTATCTCAGGGTTCGGTCTACAACTAGATGGCTAGTTTTGTGTTAAAAGATTGACAATTGTTATTTGGTTGTTGGAAAAAGTGGTCACGAATGTGCACTGCAGTTTAATTTGCTTATCCTTAGTGTTAAATTGGAGTGCACATTTTATTAACAAATTACTGTATTAACATATTAATAATGGTGATACTAATAATAATAATAAAATAATAATAATAATAATAATAATAATAATAATAATAATAATAATATTAATAATATTATTAATAATAAAAATAATACTTGGAAGAATAAAAAAAAATTAAAGAACCTTTCACAACAACAACAACAATAATAATAATAATAATAATAATAATAATAATAATAATAATAATAATAAAATAATAATAATAATAACTAGACTTACTATGTCTGCTGTTTGAACAACAGAACATAGGGCTTTTTCCCATTTCTTTAATGAGAAATGAAGTTGAAATTGCAACAAAAAGAAAAGTCGTTAAAATGTATAATGTGGAAAAACAACACGGAAAACCAATATAATTTTAATGTAGTGGAAAAATGAAGAAAAAAAAAAGCCAAATTCACTGCGACGTTCAACTATGGCTGCAATGGTAATAGCGAGGTACATCGTGACCCACAACCATTGCCTGCTATATGGGTCGATCTTGAATAGGAAAGCGCATTTTCAGTTCATAGCGATTCAATTATTGAAAGCAAAAATTGTTCATGCATATCACGGTAGTTTTGAGTTTAACCTAGCTGTAACTGGTTTGAGTGCTTTAGAAAACGCAAATTGCGTTTAAATAATTTAATCAACTTTCAACAAAAAATCTTTAAATGGTCATCATATCCACATCCTCCTGCGGATCGTCACCAAAATTTGGATCATGTCTTCATTTCACCATGGAAAACTATTCTGCAAAGTGTCATTTTTATCCATCTAACTGGGACGTAAGGAATGACCCTCAAATTTACACCCTAACCTGGATCGTCCCTACACACAATAATATCTTCCTTGTAACTTGGGTTAAATTTTTCAGAAAGTTTTATTCGGATCAGTTGCCTCTTTTTTGAAATCTCTGGTCTGGGACGTTTCCCTTTCAATGGTCCTCAGGTCTACACCCTACTCTGGATCGTCACAAAAATGTAATCATTTCTTTTACTCGACCTTGAAAAACTGTTATAGAAAGTTACATTACATTTACATCCATTGAAAACCTTTTATTTACGTCTGGGATCTCAAAAATTTAAATGACCCTCCAATGTACACCCTTGACTGATTCGTCGCCAACACATAATACTATCTTCCTTGTAACTTGGTTACACTTTTTCCGAATGTTTCATTCAGATTAGTTGATCCGTTTTCGAAATATTTGGTCTGGGACGTTTTCCTTTCAATGGTCCTCAGATCTACACCCTACTCCGGATCGTCACAAAAATTTAATAATTTCTTTACTTGACCTTGACAAACTATATACTGTACAAGGTTTACATTGATTTTTTTAAAAGAGATATTTAGGTGTGGGCCCTCAAAAATTTAAATGACCCTCCCATTTACACCCTTGACTGATTCGTCACAAGCACATAATTATTTCTTCCTTGTAACTTGTTTTTTTTTCGAATGTATTGTTTCATTTAGTTTAGTTGATTCGTTTTCGAAATATGTGGTCTGGGACGTTTTCCTTTAAATGGTCCTCAGATCCACACTATAATGTAACCATTTTTTTTACAAGACCTTGCAAAGTATTATAGAATGTTTCATTTAGACCCATTGGCATTTTTAAAAGAGATATTTAGGTCTGGTTCCTCAAAAATTGAAAATACCCTCAAATTTACACCCTTCACTGGATCGTCACAAACACATAACAATTTATCATTGTAACTTGATTAAACTTTCCCGTAAGTTTCATTCGGATCAACTGACCGGTGTAGACTGTTTGACCTTCAATCACTTTAATTGGTCCTCACACGCACACCCCACCATAGATTGACACTAAATATTAGAGGGCACATTCTTGATATACGGCAAAGCACGGAAAAATTATGAGCATGGGAAGTGACTAAAGTGACGGCCAGAAAAAAACACAGTGCAAAAAGATAATAATAATATTAATAATAATAATAATAACAATAATAATAATAATAATAATAATAATAATAACGATAATAAAAATCAATAATAATAATAATATCACGTTCATCTCTCCCTACACATACAGTACCGTACCTCACAATATTCAACACCCACAGGTACACGAAAGGTCATGGGTTTGAGTCCCATGCGGTAGACCTCGTGTACGCAACCATTGACTGTCCAGCTAATTTAATGATGGTGATCATTAATATAACAATACATATAATGATAATAATGTATATTGTCACACGAATGTGACAAAATCGTGTGAGAAGATAAATAACGCAATTCCAGTGTTGGGTTCTTCACACCGGGGTCCTGAAAACCCGGTCCCCACAAATACAAAAATCTGTTTCTTCAGGTCCTCAGTCACAACATATTCTCCGCGACCACTCAGTACGGTACTCAAGTCACACGCGATTATCGCATGCAGATCAGGGCTGCTTCTGAAGTTCCGATCAGCCGTGGGGCGGAGCACGTACGGGCTTGGCACCATTTTTGAAAATGGTAGGCTCCCTTATTGCAGTAGACTTATCATTATATTAAAGAATCAGTTACGTAAATTAGAATACAGTTCGTCCTCTAATTCGAGACCCATTAGTTCCGGAATCCCTAATTCAAGACCATTTTTACAAGACTTTTCTGTAAGCTTACGTGTACAGAATTTCCGCCGCCAAAATACTATTCTTGTTTTCAATAGCAGGTCTAGTGATGCTGCTTAACTGTTTTGAGCTTTAAATATGGTAAAATTACCTGGTTCGTCTGTTCCTTCTTGCCCGGCAACTGCTACGAAACCAACGGCGAATAACAAAACAAGATACTTCATCTTGGATAATGTTCTGAGTTCGTTTCTGCAAAAGATAGAGCTTTGATGTTTTTCTTAAAATTTCATTAGATTTAGTTTTTTTTTTAATGAAACCAAAGCGAGGCTAAATGAGGAAAATGGCTTTTGATCGCAATACCACAATAGTAAAGCATTTATTATGATGATGATAATGTTTATATACTGATTGGCCTATATATAATAATGGTAATGCAACAATGGTGATGATAATAAAAGTATTTAGTGCAATAATAAAAATAATAAATAATAATAAAATACACTAATATTGATAATATTAATATTAATAATAGGCTGCTAATACTAATAATACTATTACTAATACTGTATATGAATACCAGTGCCACTACCACTACCAATAATAATAATAATAATAATAATAATAATAATAATAATAATAATAATAATAATAATAATAATATTATTATCATTACTTATTATTATTATTATTATTATTATTATTATTATTATTACAAAATATTTAATCAAAACCTCAATAAACCACACGGTTTTTAAAAAAAGTTTCCTTAATGTTATGATGTTATGTACTAGGCCCCCACTTACTCTAATGAAAGACCCCTCCAATTAAAACCACCTCCAATTGAAGACCACTTTTCTGTGGTCCAAAATTTACAAATGTAATTTGTCTTTATTATTCTAATTAAAGATTAGAGATTAAAGCTGCTAAAGACCATGTAAACTCCGGTCTCAAAAGTGGTCCTTACATGAAGGGAAGACCTAAGTGGTGGATCCAGGAATTCGAAATAGAAAGGGCCTAGGCCGGTAGTTTCCCATATGTGGAGTATAGACCTCCTCAGCCCCACCATGGTTGGGAATGAGATATGAACATTTATGATTGGGACACCTCTATGGCCAGAAATGGCACTTTCACACCAGTCAGACTTTTACATATTTATATTAAAGCAATATATTCGTTATTATTATTTAGAAAAAGAATAAAATAATATTATTTATCTTTGTACCATGATTAACTAATTGTATACGTTGAATCCGCCACTAGACCTGTACTAATTTGATATTACTAGTCCAAGAAGTGACGTAAGACTCATCAAGTGACAGGAATGAATGACACACAGGCAACAATACAGGAAACATGACATAATTTGGGCCTACAAGCTTTCATAACTAACAGAACACCCACTTTTACTGACCATATCACTCACTACTCAATCTATGTGTAATATCCTAAATAGATATTAAAAGTCTCAATAATCAGCAATCGGTGTAAATTACTAGGTATATTCACATGTTCCGCTGGTATTTCACATAGTAGGCTACTGTCTAGGCATAATTGACTCCTTCAGAAGTGACGTGATACTTATCAAACCTGTGGATCTAGGCCTATAACAATTTGAGATATAAGATAACATTTATCTACAGATAAGAGAAGTACATATAAATATAGACTTACCGAAAGGCGTGGGGTTGGGTTGTCTTAGATCTTGGAGTGAGATGAGTAATGAGGACCCTTGATCTTATATTTATCTCGGCTACAAATAACGCAAGTCATGCTCATCTATTCACCCAATTCTATATAAATATTTAGCTTTCAAAACTTTTGTAGGAGCCAGCTCTTGTCGTTATGACGACGAATCAACTTGAATCGAATCTCTCACGCGTGTTTTAAAATGTAAATATATCATATAACAGGTTACCAGATTTACAAAATACGTCGCGGCTGCTATAACGTCATCTTGGAGATTGTCTTGTCACTTTAAGGGGTGTATGATTTTATTTTCAACCGTGTACCTAATTACTCATAATACTTAAGAGAGCAGCTTAGCTCAGTCGGCCAAGCTGGTGGTAGCCACTGTGTGTGCGATGAATCGTAGAGATCTCTAGGTTCAATTCCCATCGCTGCCTCTCCTTTTGTTTCCACAGGAGGGCTGAAATACAAGTGATTAGGTTGATGCATTTAATTTTCAGATTCCTGAGTTAAAATCCTATGAAAACCACATACCCATTAAGCCCCCCACCCTCCTACCCCGTCCACACCATCAAAGTGTCTTCGACAAAAAAAACCCTGATGTATGCCCATATATAGTCATGATGTGCCTATATATGGTCATGATGTGATGTCATCATGGCCATATTTATGCATGTCACATGTTTTTGCCAAATAAAATTCGATAGTCTGGACAGGGCTTGACTGAAAATCCCGAAGACCTAAGCAACGTGTTAACACAGAATATAAATTCTGGGGCGCAAATTGTTGGGCAGGAGACGCCGATTTTTCGTTGGGGGCATCAAAGCCACCTTGGTGGGGTCCAGAGAAGGTATCTCTGACGGCCTAGAAACTGAGCAATTGTATGCCATTTTCCAGTGGCGGACCCAGGAAACTGAAATATACCGTACGGGGCGATTGAGGGTCTTTTACGATGTAGGGTTGACAGACCCATTACAGCTGCGGCACCTGTAGGTGCCCGTAAATTGCAATGGCCAAACCCCGACCGGGATAAGAGGGACGCGATGTCCTCGACGAGAGAAAAGTGGGCGTGGTCGGCTGTCGCTCAATATCTTTTGGAAGTGGTCCAATTATGACAATATATAGCGGTCAATATATATTTTTTTTAATTCTCTTCGACGAATTGTGTTTTCCCTGACGCTAATGGCGCTACCACTTACTTTGGCTCCACCCTTGAATAACACACCATTAATAGGCATAGGCCTTAAAATCAAGCCCATTGTTATGAGTGTGGTCTGGATGAGGATCCTAAACACTTTCTTTCCCTTTTCTTTTTTGTTATGACTCGTGTAAACATTAAGAAATCTTGGTTTAAAAAAAAAAAACAATTTTCCGCTGAAATGATCGTTTTTTATTCTTATTGTTAGCGTTGCCAACAAACGTTAGGAGATGCACACAAACAACAATGTCAAAAGTAAATATATAGCATCAGGTAAGTAAATTAAGGCGGGTTTACTGCCCCTGTACGGGGTGTTTGCTTTCAATTCAGGGTTATATAGAAAAGTAAATTAAAAAATAAAGGCTTAACTATTACTTTATACAGTACTATAGTCCTTTGTTCATACACGAACCTGTAGCGATGCTTGCAAGACAGGCCAAGAATTCATGTAGCTACGTCTATAATGTTGGCCTTACGCGCGATGACACAATTTTTCAGTACACCACCGGTTAAATTTCAGTGACGATTCTCTGTAATTTCGGCCTTCTAAATTCGCCAACTTTAACCAAATCACTAGGGAGTGGTATTGGGTTTGGTGTGGGGATCGGGAGGATTCACACGATATAGTGTCGGGGCCGAATTCATTTGAACCAAAATCGCTGCAGTGAAACCGACCACGATCAAGGATTGACAAATCGAATGTCTGTTTCCCGGTAGGCCTAATCCTTTTCACTAACACACCACACCCCATTTTCTAAATAGTATGCACACGGGCAGAAATGAGAGGTGTATTGCAGCCTTATGTCCCAGCGGACGAAGTGGATAAGTAA